GATTTCGTTGCCATTGATGTGGAATTAAAATATCAGAGGTTAAAAGAAAACAATCTTGCCGGACATTTTATAATAACCCAGGAGAGAAAATAGAAGAAGGATCGCAAAATTAAACGGAAGAGGGAGAAGAATTGTTGATTCTTATCTTGTCTGATATGCGAAAGGAGAGCATTCGATATAATGGAAAGGCTTCAAATTTATATGTTTCCTTCTATTGTGGGTGGTCCACAAACTCTGACTTCTTAATTAAGTTATCCCTCCTAGAATTGGAACTCATAAGTTGATGGTCGGTCCTTTGTTATTCGTAGTCGATCCATATAAAGATGCAAAAAACGTTCTCGACTTGTTGAATCTTTCCTAATTTTTTTAAAAAATTATCTGAACCGGAACAGGTTACAAAGTCTGAGAATTATTTACAAAGATTTATATCTTTAAATGGAGACAATGTAAAATAAAAAATTTCCAAAGATCAATAATATAAATACCCCTATTTTGATAAAGGGTAAAAACATAATTTAATATTGGAGTCCTCGGGAATTATGAGTAACTTTTGGTTAATTATTTTTTAAAATAAATCTCGAATTTTTTTACCAATTTTTTAATTTTCGATGTAGCCATGAAAACTAGCACAAAAATGACGAAAAAAACTAAGGGTGTACCGATACCACCTTTTGGAGGCCGATCCGATCCGATATTCCCGGTATTAAATTGATATCGGCTGATTACCGACCGATATCATTTTAATTTTGTATCTTGTAAAGATACCAATGGTTTTAATTTTTAATATACTTTTTATTAGTATAACATATATAATTTAATTTAACTATACCATAACATATGTCATTTAAATATATTATAATGATCAGTTATAGTTTATATTCAATTCAATTGCAATTCTGGATATAAATAGTTATATTGATAAATCACTTATTTATTATATAATAAGTAATAACATTAATCTATTTACATAATATAATAAGTAATAACATTAATCTATTTACATAATATAATAAGTAAACAAATATATTATGAAATTTGAAATAAATATTTAAATAAAAATTTAAAATTAATATATCGAAGATTTCTATTTAGAAATACCAAAATTTCCATTTATCAGAGGTCAGTCTGCGGAGATAGGGACTGTCAATTTCACTAAAAACAGATTCTGAAGATTATTGCACACTTTTATAAACAGAGTGCGCAAAAAAATAACAATATGGCAGAATGTTTATTAATTAATTATCATTATTAAAAAATTAAACATAAAAATGAATTTCGATTTTATTTATAAAAATAAATGGTTTTTTAGATATAACTTTTTTAAAAAAATTTTTTAATATTTTATTTTAGTCAAAAACGCCATTTTTTATCGGATCGGATTGGAAAATTTTATAATATTTGCCGATAACCAATATTTTAAAATAGGCAAAATATTGGCCCGATCCGATCCTATAAAAAATATCGGTACATCCCTAAAAAAACTATCAATATAGATGTCAGGCTAGAAGAATTCCATTGCTCCAAACCATAATATTAGATTTATGCCACCGGGTCTCATGTTACTATTCGATAATCGAGTTAGAAGGTATAAAAAAAAGAAAATAATGACCATGGCTCTCGATGATATTCTTATGGAGCTTATATAATATAGACGTAGTGATGTAATATTCTTAGAGTAAAATATAAGGCGATTAGAAATATTTTTATTATTATGAAAATAACCCGAAATTGTTGGAATAGTTGTAATTATAGAGATGGCTTAATTTGCAATGGATATTCGAGAAAGTGTGTATATTAAGCTAGAATGGTCAACAGAGAGTATTGAAGTAGAAAATGGGTCGTTTATATTCATTTCAAATCAAAACTTTGTGATAATATAAATTTATTTAGGTAATTTATTATATAACTCCATTATTTTATTTTGGCAGAATGATAATTAATTTTTTTTACTGAGGAATTTATATTATTGTTGTATTGTTATTATAAGGTTTAATGCGGAAATAGATTTTTCAAAAAATCTTTTTGCAAATCCTTATTAGCAAATTTTTTTTATTAAAAAGGTAAACTTGCAAATATCTAAAAATTTCTCCAGGGGTTTTATATTAATTTTTATAGGAATGTCAAATTCATAACTCAAAAACTGCCTTATTAAATGGATATTATATATTATATAGAAAACCTGTCTAATTTGGACACAGTTGGGACTTTTTGCCCAATTTGACAGTTACCAAATTTATCAAAGCAATAGTAATTAATAAAATTTTGATTAAATTAGGGTGTTGCGCGAATTATCAAGAAATTAGAAAAGTCTTACTGTACATATGTATGAAATTTTGAAATATGTACATCACAGTTATATTATATTAACAGTTGAATTTGAACTGAAGAAAAATAAATTATCACGGCGTTCTTTTATATGACTAGAATATTTTGGAATCTAGTTAAGCAACAATCAATAATAATATCATAGTCTTTTCTTCAAAAAATGAGATTCAAAGATTATATAGAATTGCTAAATAAAATTAAAAGGATACTACTAAATCGGAATGTCTAAATCCAAAATATTGACTTTTTAGTATAGATAAATGCTAATTAAATAAAACCAAAATCTTAAAAAGATTAATAAGCTAAACACATTAATATTTCATTAAAATATACAAAATTATACATATTTAAATTTCATATTGGTAATAAATTATTCATAAAATGTGTAATTTAGGACGAAAAAATATACAGTATTTATCTGTATTTATTATATTTAAAATATGATTGAAAAAAAGATATTATGAATATAAAAGAGTTGAATACCATAAACATTCGGGGAATAAATCTAATATCTTTCTCTAGAGAATTTATATTTCTCCCCCCTCAGTTATATATTTAATAATAATATTATATATAATATACATTAGAATAAACAGCATCAACGTTTTATATATATTTACACTGTAATTTCCTTAACCCTCTTTCCCTACCCCCCCCCTTTCCCTCATATCCTCATTTGTTTTATTACTGTGGTATTTGGGGTAAAAAACCACAATTTTTGGATAAAAAATAAACCAAAAAAAACAAAGGTTGGTTTTTTGTTTTTTAAAAATATATCATTATATATGGAAAATATACTACCAATATTTTGTTGCAAATTTTCCATTATCACTATCACAATCATTTTTTAATGTGCCCACATAATTTAATTGTATTATTTTAAAAAAAGTTAACTTTTATTTTTTTATGATATAAAAATTTAATTCAAAATGTTTTCTTTTTTCCCCACTGTTTTATGTTATTATCAGGGTTGGCAAGTCAGTCAATTGACCGAAGGAGTATATAACCTGATCAAATATGTTCAAATACTTTTGGTGAATAGATATATTGATTTAATTAACTATGTATTTAAAGTATGTTAATCATCTAATTAGGTTACAATTTATTTATAAATATATATGTATCATCAAGGCATTGATTTAGTTATAATTTTATAATAAAATATAATATTTTCATATTAAAATTAGAATTAGATTTAAAAATAAAAATAAAAAAATTTCCCATTAATAATTTGATTGGATCTCAAATAAATATAATATTTTTGCTAAAGCATGGTTTAAGAAAATTACTATGCCAATTTATATTACATTATGTAAAATTATCCAGGAAAGATCGTCAATAAAATTTAAGGCGCAAATATATAATGAATCTCTGAAAGCAGCGGTTGAAGAAGTGGATTATTTATTAGAAAGAAATTGCTAATGAAGAAATATTTTGTACAATAAGATCAAGATTTTCAAATAATTCTTTAACATTTTGCTATCTTATTGTTGTAAATGCAAAGAAATAAATGTACTTTACTACATGTAAAAAATGAGATGCATAATTTGGAAAACACATAATTCAATCATTAATTTTTCTGCCTAAAGAAAAATATTAAAGATATTTTTGAAAAGAAAAATCAATTCAAATATATGTCCTCACACAGCTGATTATTTATTGGATCCCCATTATAAGGAGAGCATTTTACTATTAGTGAATTTGATAAAGCATATGATATAATATAGCTTTGATAATCAAGATATTTTAAGTGATATCATCTTTGCCCACCTTGAACATTAAGACAAGTGTCTATATTACTAACAAGTTATAATTCTTTTTCAAAAAGAAATTAGTCAGTTTTGGGTAATATTCATATGAAGAAACAAAATTGATTGAGGATCTTGACCAGAAAACTAGTAATAGTATAACACAACCTAAAATTGATTAAAAATATTAAAGAAAATTAAATCAGAACAAGATCTGCTATGGTGAATGAAACATTCATTATGAATTTAAAAATACAATTTAATATTACGTAGATCAATTTTTACTATTATATATAAAATAAAGTTAATATAGTCTTAAAAAACATTTATTTGAATTTGACTTGTCAAATATTAGCCAAATGACTGATTTATATTTGACTGGTCAATGCACAACCCTGATTTTTACATTTATAAAAAGACTTGATAAATAGTGTTCTAAATAAACATTCCAATAAAACTTTGTGTACCCTAATTTCCCAAAAACGACTAATGAAACCTGATAAAAAAAATTATGAGCATATAACTCATTATCATTAATTGCTTATAAAATCTTACAAATAACAAGGTGATGATGTAATATTATTGATTTATAATAGTGCATTTCCATTTATTAATGAATAATGTTCATATCATAAAGCTTTGAACAAAATCAATCTTAAATAATCTATTTCTTCTGTTATTTGCAGTAATTTAAAGTAAGAATACACTTAACTTTTAAGCAGATAAAAACATAGTAAATATGTAGATAAATGGTAAATAAGTAGTCAAAACAAATATACTTAATATTATATTTATTATCATCAAATTTCATCATGTTGATATATAACAAATATAATTTTTTTAAATTTATATATTTAAAGAAATAAATATTGCTTTAAATGCTTTGTATTTGTATATTTTATAAATAAAAAGGAATAAAAATTTTACTTAGGATGATATAATATTGTTTGATTTTTATCTATTTTGATGATTGGTTTTGAGTTTAGATCACATTCTAATATATATTTAATAATAAAATAGTTATTAACTTGAATCTTTTCTAATAGATTTCTAAGTTATTAATATCGTTTTTTCTAGGAGATAATAAAATATAATCTAAATACCTCTTTTACTGAATGGTCTTATACGTATCGCGACATTAACTTTATTTGCCATACTATATAAAATATAAAATTACATTTTCCCATGAAAATATTTTTTAAATATATGAACGAATGATATTTTAATAATCATATGTTTAAAAAAGGTAATTAAGACTAGTCTATATCCTAACCGAAGGAAAATTAGCACCAATGCAAATATATAAAATTTGATAAACAACTTAGTGACCATGATTTATCATGTATATTCGATATCGATAAATTATCACAAGTTATTTATATTTGTTTTTAATAAAAAGAATCCCTCATGGGTCAAGAATTATGCTCAAGGAGTGGCAGCTCCTGGATGGCCAAATTTATTTTCCATATCTTGGTTATTATACTATTATTAATTAATAAATGAAAGAAAGAAAGAAAGAAAGAAAATTGTGAATGTATGAGATATTTTTTTAATCAATTAAATTAAAAACCTTCCCCTCATTCCCTTATTGAAGAATACATTATTTTTGTATGTTTTTTGGCATAAATAGGAGTTTGTTTTGTTGACAGTATGTTTAACCTTTTTAAATTACATTTATAAATATAGCAGAAAAATATCCAGAATTAAGATTTATTCGAAAAATAATGGCTATGATCGTATACAATATATAGTTTTGTCAATATTTAGTAATAATGTATTTTATATCTATAATAGAAGTATTAAATAAATTTTTACATTAATATATTTTGCCCAATTTTATCTAAAAATATTATTAATACCCTCCCCTCCACAATAAATTTACCCCATCCCTGAAATACCTCCATATTCTACTCCCCCCCCCCCCAGATACCTACCCTCCTTCAAAAAATTTAGTGGAAAAATGTTCCTACTCTTATTCACTCCCACGTAAATACTAGGTATGAGGCTTCTGGAATATGTGAATAGGCCCAGAATGAGCTAACAGGACAAGATATCCAGGTGCCGAAAGGCGATTTAAAGCCACCAAATTTTAATCCTTGTGGAGGATAAAGTTTACTTTAAATCAATTAATTTTATTCGCTTTCACTAATTTACTTGACAACTCATATCAGTTAATATTTGTAACAAAATTAACCTAAATTAAAGAGATAGTCATTGGAAAAAATGACCATATTTGGCAAAAACTTAGTTATTCTTCCTTTCTAATGAAAAATCTAGTATAAAATATAATTCATTTTGTACTAGGCTCATAATGGTAAAGTTGCATTTTCTTATATCTGAAACCAAAAAACACCATGGATTGTTTAATTATTTTATGATTTTTTGAAAAAATAAAGTTTAACATGTCAAATCATATATTGTTTAAAAAAATGAATTTTTTGTTATCAAAATTTTATTTTTTTTTCTATTACAAATAATCTTTATAAAGAATTTAATTAAAAATTATTTATTTATTCCCAGATATACAGGGCAAATTATTAGTAAAAAATATTTGGGTGTTTTGGTAAAAAAAAATTATTTTTCGAATCAGAATCATATTTTATTGTTTGTTTAGAACTATGTTTATTATTTTTGAATGGACCTCTTTTCTCATAGAAGTCCAGTTTTTGAAACAACCTAGGAGACACCTTTTGGATATTATGATTATTTTGCTTTAATATATACTTTTATATCGCGGAATTTTCATTTCATACAGAAATCTTTGGTGGATATATTTTGATTACCTTTACATAAATTAAGTTATTATTTTAATTAAAATTTAGATTCGATTATTAGGTGTTCAATTTAATAAATATTATATATTAGTTTTATACCTGTAAAAAAGGACAAACTAGAAAATTAAAAATACTGTTTTAGTCATTGGTTTTAGTAAACTGAATCATTAAGACCAGGAGTGTATAGCGAGGAGGACTACTGGGGGCTAGGTCCTTCATCGCTAAATTTTATAATTTTTAGTTCCTTTTCCAATTGAAGGGAGACTGAGACCCCTCCCCTGCCAAAATATTTTAATTTTTATTAAAAAGTGTTACATTTGAATTTCTTTTCTTATTATTGATATAAAAATTTTATAGTCAAACATCTTTTTACATTTTATATATTAAAAGATTTTAAATTAGAGTGGCGTTGTCGGGGTTAATTGTTATAAATATATTAAAACACAAAATTAATTATAGAATTTAAAATATAAATACAACTGAAATCCTAATATTTGAATTATTATTGGAGAATGAGTCAACACGGATGCGTCCAAATGTCGGCACCACTCCGTCCTTAATCGGTATTTTCATAATTCGGTCATATCACGTGATAATTTCAAATAATATTTAACATAAATAAGTATGGTATATTAGATAAATTAATCATTGATAAAGCTTTTTATCATCAATTATTTTTGTATTTTATCGTTTTGTAATTCAGGTAAGTTGGTAGCTATTGAATCATCTCTATTTTTATATCGATCCCTGATGAGACCAATATTTTGAATCTAATTTCTTAGACGAGGTTAAGGTTGTAAAGCCATAGATTTGGATTGGAAAAAATAATGGTTCAATAGCTGCACATTTTAAATTTATTATTGTGCATTTATTAATAATAATTGTTGTTTATTATATTTATATTATCTTTTTGGTAAAATAAAATTTTATATATTATCGAAAACGACATTTGTATTATTATTCGAAAAAAAAAATTCCATTAAAACACACCCGGTTCTGATATTTGCGTTAAGACATCGTCTTAAAGTTTGCCTTACGACGCCTTCGGGGTTTCGTCCCTTCCGTCTGAAAAAATGGTGTTATTACAACGGATAGCACGTCCGCTCCAAAGATAAAACACAGAAACTTAACAGTAGAAAGAAAAATAAACTATGGAAATATTTGGAAATTCACTTTTCAAGGTAATTAATGTCAGAATCTACATAAACTATTATCTAACATAACAGAGCTACAATTAAAGTATCAATATCGGTATTACAAATTTCTGAGGTAACACATATAGCTATAAGGAAAAAAATCAATGTAAAAATAAGAAAATATTTCACTTTGTCGAAACGATTTCCATTACTACATCCTCTCGGCCCAATGTGGCCTCTACCATCTAATGCATATAAATAAATTAATTCATATAATTTTTTCGATTAAATCATTTGATCGCTGTTTAATTATGAAAAATAAAATCAAGAAAATTACTAGCATTTCCATTAAGGCGTTCCCATGATTCAAAGTAATAACCAGTTTCTATAAATTTGATTATATGTAAACAAATATCTTCTTTATGGATAACCATTTTAGAATTTACTGGGACAGTTTAAAGATGTGGCCTCTTTTTTCATCTTAAAAATCTGGATTTAGCCTCATTTTAAAATGCTAAATCAAGATATTAGACAAACAAATATTAACTAAGCAACAATATTTTGCCTAATTCTAGAGGCTTATTTAATATTTGTTTGGCTAAAATCTTGATCTAACCGTTTTTAAAAATCAGCTATATAGAGCTTGTAACAACACTAGTATTGATATATGATTTCTTTTTCAATAATTGATTATTTGTCAAAACACATTAACATTATTAATACTTTGTGCTATATACTACCTTATTTATGTTTGTTTAAAACTCAAGCCCTCAAAACAGGAACAAATATATAGTGTTGTTAATCGGCTTAGCCGAGTCGGCTCGAACAGAGCTCACCCAAATTTTGGGTCGTTTTTTTCGACTCTAACTCAAAGTTTTGGTCGTTTTTTACGACTTCGACCCGAGTTCAAGCCGAAAAAAACGACTTCGACCCAAAATATGGGTCGTTTTTTTCGACTCCGACCCAAGTCCAAGCCGAAAAAAACGACCTCGACCCAAAATATGGGTCGTTTTTTACGACTCCGACTAAAAATTTGGGTCGTTTTTTTCGACTTCGACCCAAAATATGGGTCGTTTTTTACGACTCCGACTAAAAATTTGGGTCGTTTTTTTCGACTTCGACCCAAAATATGGGTCGTTTTTTACGACTCAAACTTGAAGTTTGGGTCATATTTTTCGACTCAAACTTGAAGTTTGGGTCGTATTTTTCGACTCCAACTCAAAGTTTGGGTCGTTTTTCTGACTCAGACTCAAACATCGGGTCGTTTTATTCAATCCGACCCAAAATATGGATCTTTTTTTTTAAAGTCGACTTAAAGTTAGGGTTGCTTTTTTTCACCCTTAACCCAATATCTAGATCATTTTTTTTGACCAAAAGTCAAATAACATTTAGTATATATTAATATTATAGGCGGGAAAGTTACTTAAAGCTTCTTTAAATTATAATACTCTGGATTAACTATTCATCATAGTTATTTTTTAAAATTTTTAAGTGAAAATGCACCATAGAAAAGAGCCATTTGTTATGATGGTTATTTTTGAACTTTTTTAAATAAAATAGATAAAAATATATATTGTAGACATGTTAAATCAAAATTTCAGTGAAGATGTACCATAGATAAGTGACAATTGTCATAATCGCCATTTTTGAGCCTTTTTGAGTTTTTTTAAAGGAAATAGCTAAAAATATATATTCTAAACATGTTAAATTAAAAATTCAGTGAGGATGTATCATAGATAGGTGACAATTGTCATAATCGTTATTTTTGAACTTTTTCAATTTTTTTAAAGGAAATAGCTAAAATTATATATTCAAAACATGTTAAATTAAAAATTCAATGAGGATGTATCATAGATAGGTGACAATTGTCATAATCGTTATTTTTGAACTTTTTTCAATTTTTTTAAAGGAAATAGCTAAAAATATATATTCTAAACATGTTAAATTAAAAATTCAGTGAGGATGTATCATAGATAGGTGACAATTGTCATAATCGCTATTTTTGAACTTTTTCAAATTTTTTTAAAGGAAATAGCTAAAAATATATATTCAAAACATGTTAAATTAAAAATTCAATGAGGATGTATCATAGGTAGGTGACAATTGTCATAATCGTTATTTTTGAACTTTTTTCAATTTTTTTAAAGGAAATATCTAAAAATATATATTCTAAACATGTTAAATTAAAAATTCAGTGAGGAAGTATCATATATAGGTGACAATTGTCATAATCGCTATTTTTGAACTTTTTCAAATTTTTTTAAAGGAAATATCTAAAAATATATATTCTAAA